GCCCCCGCGGGGGGGGGACGGCCAGCCGTCACCGGAGAGGGGGCGGCTGCCGCGGCGCGAGGCTTCGGCCAGCGCTGGAACGGGAATGGGAGCAGCGCTGAGCGCTAAATCCTACCCCGGCCTTCCGCGGCCGCGTCCTTCTGCCTGCGGAACGGCGCCGTCAGGTGCTTTTACCTTCAAAATGGCACTTTCAAGTATTGTACCCTCAAAACTTCAAGTATTGCTACCTTCAAAATGTTACTTTCAAGTATTTTACCTTCAAAATTTCAAGTATTTCTACCTTCAAAATGTTACTTTCAAGTATTTTTTCCCCTCAAAATGGGACTTCGAGTATTTTACCTTCAAAAATTCAAGTATCATTTCCTTCCAAATGGGACTTTCAAGTATTTTTTCCTTCCAAATGGGACTTTCAAGTATTCTACCTTCAAAATTTCAAGTATTTGTGCCTTCAAAATGGGCCTTTCACATATTTTACCCTCAAAATTCTACTTCCAAGCCCAATTTCCAAGTCGAACCCTCCACGGTGGACTCGCCAAGGGGCCCGCGGACCCCTCCAGCCTGCTCTCCCCCTCTTTTCCCGCCTGCCCTCGCCCTTCGGGAGGGTGGAAGCGGCGGCGCAGCCCCGGCTCCTGAGTCACCCTGCCCATAAAAGCTCCCCTGTTGGGCGCCGGCGACGCCGCGGCCCTCCCGTGACATCATGCCTGGAAAATGAGAGGCTTTTTCCCCCGGCTTTGGCCAGCGGGAGGTTTCGCGGTTCCAGCCAGTGAAGGGGGAGGGAAAGAAAACTGGCAGGAAGAAAATAGCTCAGCCTTGGGATTCTGGAACCGAGGGCAACATCTGGGAAGAAACTCAAACATACAAACATGGAAATCGCTGTTTCGCGGCTTAAAAAAACCCCCAAATCTCTGCTGTGCACAGAGAAGCGGCAGTGACGACTCGGTGACTAAATATTTTCCCGGGGGTATCCCAGCCCGGCGTTCCCGCGGGAACGCAGCCCCCTCACCTCTGCCGACAGCCGGCAGCAGCGCAGCCAGGACTGTCTCTTCGTAAATGTTTTCCAGGTTAACGATGCCGCCGAAGTCGGCGAAGACGAAGCTCTCGTATCGCGGCAGCTCCTACCCGGGGGCAGAGCGGGGCAGCGTCAGCGTTCGCCTTCCCAGCGAGCCGGGAGGCTGCGAAACCAGCAGCCGGGATGGGAAGAATCGACGGGAATGGGGTAAGGCTCCCCAAAAACCGGGGGGAGCGAGGCCGGAGGCTACGGCAGCGCCCTCGGATCCCAGAGGAGCCCGCTTTCCCCGTGCCAGAGCGCCCTTCGCCTCCAAAAACACCCCCGGGACTCGCTGCGGAGGGAACCGATCCAGCCAGCGCTCCGGCACAGCGAAGACGCCAAAAAAAAAAAAAAAGGGAATAAAATAAAAATACAGGAGAATGTTCTGGGAAACAGCTAAAGGACGGTCACACCCGCGACGGCGTGAAACAGAACACGAGTTGTGTCCGTTCGGAGGAGGTTTTCGGGATGCCGCCTGGGAGAGGGCTGCGGTTTGGCAGCCTGCGCCGCTGTAGCTTGAATTAAAAAGCTCTTTTCTGCAGAGAGACAGCTCCCGAGCGCCAGGACGCTGGCGAGAGGGGAAGGCCGCAACGAGGGAAGGAGTCGCTTTTTCTCGCTGAACTAAAACCCGCTTGTTTGAGCCCGCGCCCCCGAGCCCAGTCCCCCCCCCAGCCCGTCGCAGGCTCGGCCCTACCAGTTTACACCCGGACTCCAAACGCTTCAGCAGAAAAGGAAGAAAAATCCGGACCAGCCACTCCTGAGCGAATCGCTTCCGGAGGGAGCCGCTGTCGCAGTCAAACTTCTGCAATCAAATTCAGACGGAGATCGGTCCGACGGGCGCCGTCTTTTAACGCCTGCGGCGTGAGCGCAACGCAGAACGGCGGGGAAACCGCGGCAAAGCGGGGCGATTCGGCGGAAAAACCCGAACCGCGTCCACGTAAACCCCTCACAGGCGGGAAAGGGAGAGGCACCCGCGCCTCACCTTCAGCACCCGCTCTTTGATTCTCCCCAGCATCTGGGCGAGCTGGCGACGGCCGGCTGCTCGGCCGCGGTGCTGCCGCCAGAGCTGCTGGAAGGTGTGGGTGGCGTTCCGCATCAGCTGCAAGACAAAACCCCGCTGAGCCGCTGCCGGGCGCGCCGGACCCGGGATCTTCCTCCGCATCTCGCCCCCGTGGCGAGCGCCTTCCTCCTCGGTTAGCCAACTCGTTGTGTTTTTAAACCAAGAAAAAGCTTTTCAGACCGCTGCTTCGTGCTTTTTAGGCAGCCCAAGGAGAAACGGAGCAGAAGGGGAGCAAGCGGCTGAGGCTGGAGCCAGCCCGCAGCGGCCCCCGTCCCCACCTACCTGCTGCATGAGGTTCTGAGCGCCGAGGACCAGGCTCGTCACGCCGCGGAAGCCGAACCGCTCCTCGAGCCCTCGCAGGCTTTCTCGATACAGGTCGGCCTCCTCGTAGCACGGCTGCATGACTTCGGGCTGCCAGGACGTTCTCCCCAGCGTCAGGAGCTAGGTCAGAGCGGCAGCGCGTTGCTCGCGCGGCAACGCACGTGCTCCCCGGCTCCGCATTTCCGCTCCCCCCGTGTCCTCTCAGGAGTCCGGGAACGAGCGCGAGCAAAAAGCGCCCTCCGACATCCCCCCAGCAGCCGAGAGTCGGCGCTTAATAAAGCTCAACCCCGCGAGAACCTTCCTGCCGGGATTCGGCACCGATTCAAAGGAGCTGCGGCAGCGCAACGACGACGGCACCTCGGGAATCGGTCCCGCGCCCACAACGGTGGGGCTGGAGGAGCGCGGCCGCCTTTGCCGTCCCGTTCCCGCCGTTACCTCTTTCTGCAGGGTGACGATGGGAGAGCTCCGGACGCGCCCGATCATCTCATCGACTCTCTGGGCGAAGAGCGAGCGAACCGCCTCGACGCCCGCGCTGACGGGACGCATCAGTTCCTCCATCACGCAGCCCAGGTGAGGCTCCACGTCCCGGCCGCAGCACGACTCCGCCGGGCCCCGCACCACAGCTGCCAAAACCGAAAGCTGCGGGTCACCCGACAGACCGTGCCGCGTTCCCACCACGCTTCTTCCCACCGCGCCGGCTCCACGGGGCACAGGATGGAGCCAGCGGGGCTCAGGCCGGGTAGAAAACGCCACCCGAGATCCTCCACCCGCAGCCCCTCTTTACCAAACCCAAATCCGCCGTAGCTGCTGGTTTGCGGTTCCCAGAACAACGCTATTCAAGCCAGCGCTTCCCAAACTAAGGCCTGCAACTACGGGCGGACAAATTTCATGGATTTGTCCAGTTGGTTTTTTTTGAACCTGCGTATTTTTTGCCTTTTATCCCCCCCCGTTTGCCCAACCTTGGAGTTTGCTGGCTATCTGATCCTTCAGAGTCAGCATCTGATCCAGGTCGGGGCGAATTTTCTTCTCCAGCTCAATCTGTAGTTTTTCCTTCTCCTTCTGAAAAGCTTCGAATTCACCGGAGATTTCGCTGAGGATCAGGGTGTAAACCTCCTGGAGAAACTGGGGGGCCGATAAGGAGCGGGTGATCCAGAGCGAGAAGGAATAACGGAGAGGTAAGAGGCACCAAGCAGGCAAATTTCAGAAACGTTACCGTTTCCTGGCCTCGCCACTGAACAAAAACCCGCTTCCCATCCCTGTCACGCTCCTAAAATTCCTCGACTCATCCAGCTTCGTTTCACCCAACCCAAATACCAAGTAATTAATTTGTCCCTCTCCGTTATGACCAGCCCCTCGCTGCCGATACGCAGAACCAGCCGCGCCGCTCGCGCGCTGCAGCGCTCCCTGGTTTTTGCTCCAGCGCTGGGAAGCGGCCGTTTTCGCCAATTTGTTCTTTATTTGCTGAGTTTGTACCCGACGCTCCGCTCTCCCCCTGAGCACGCCGGTCGCCACCGCGTGTGCCGGCACGACCGCGACTTTCAGGGAATTCACCTGGAGCCACAGCTGCTGCCGCCTCCTTTCTGACCCTCTGATGCTCGGGAGCACCTGAGAGCGCAGCACCGGCAGCAGATCCTCCATTAGCACGTTTCCGAGGATCTAAAACCCAAAAGGAGCAGCTGAAACCACCCCGGAGCCACAGCCTCGCTGGAAACGCCCCGGTCTCAAACGCTTTACCGACCTCGGGTTCCGGCCCCAGGAGAAGATCCCCTGCCCCGTAGCGGCCTCTCTCTTGCCTGTAAAACCGCACAGCCTCGAGGAAGGCCTCCGCTTCCAGAGAATCCCTCCTCTGTAATTCTGAGGACAAAGGACAACGCAGTCCCGGTGACGTTTCATCGAGGACGCTCAGAGCAATTCCCACCGAACCACGTGAAACCGCGGGAACTCGGCGGCTAAAAACTATTCCGAGCGAGAATAAAGGCTGCAAGCGGCTCTCGCCCTCCGGCATAAACGCAGCGAGACCCGGCTCGTGCCGCCCCCTCCGCGAAAAGACGCCGAGGGCGGAGAGGGCTCACGCTCTCGGACCTGGGCCAGCCTCACCCGTGCTGCGGTAGCGAATGCCGTCCCGAAGAGCGGCCCTCCAGATCCGCCGCGATCCCGCCGAGCCCGCGCAGAAGCAGAATTGCCTCCGGAAGGGATGGTAGAGGAAAAAGAGAAACTCTCCCGGCGCGTCGGCGAAGGGGCTGCCACCTCGGGGAGGAAGGAGAGAGGAAGAAGCACAACGTACGCTGGCGCGGCCACAATTTTAAATTAATTCTCTATCGACTCTTGGAAGCTTCCCCAGCGGTACGGCCGTCGGTCGCGTTTTCGTTCAGAAACACCAGTTTACAGACAAAAAAGAAAAGGCCGTCCTTGGAGAGCGCTCCGAGGCCTGCTGCGCCGCAGCCGCTCCTTGGAAAACGACGGCGATCGCGCCCCGCCGTGCCGGGGAAACGCCAAAGCGAAGGGATCGGCTTTGCCAAGCCGGGCGCCTTTTCTTTTTTTTTTTTCTCGCCTTACCAGACGCAACAAATAGGAGCTGTGCCGCAGCGCTGCGAACAGCGAGAGCCGTTTGTAGGGGAGGAGTACAAACGTTTTGTTGCGAGAGCAAATCGGTGAAGCCTTGCCTCCCTTTCCAGCCAGATTCTGCAGCAGACTGGAAAGATCCCAATTCCATTAAGTTTTTTTAACGGCGCTGCCCAGAATTTAAAAACGCAACGATAACTCACACATGTTTGCGACCAGATGTAAACTCTTTCACGGGAGGCAGCTCTCTAATAAAAGCCAGAGGGCTGCACGCTGAAGAGCTGAGCAGAGAAAACAATTTGAAATGAATTTCCGTCGCTGGCCAAGTTTCTCTGCAGCTGCTTCTGTTTTTGCGCCACCTGGGTTTAACGCCCCGGCGTTCCAGCTGGCCAAGGAAAGCCGCGCAGGCTGCCGGCAGCCCCGAGCGCAGCTCCCCGCGGCCAAAGGATACGGAGAAACGAGGAAAACAACGGATTTAGCAGCATGGGATCTCAAAAGCGCCGAGCCTGGGTGATGCCGTAAGTTTAGCCGCAAGGGTTACGGCTCTGCCTACACCTAAGGAAGATTCTCGGGCATCTTTTGGTGCGAGGACACAGAACCCGCCTCGCGCCTCCGTCCGGCGCCGAACCGGACCCCGCTCGCACCTCCACCGTTACCCGTTTCTTAACGCGTCCCAGAATTACCCGCGAGCCCTTGGCACAGACGGGCGAGCGACTCGGCGTATTCGCTCGGCGAAGACAGCAGCAGGTAGCCAGAGAGAGCGGTCGAGCCTCTGGGCTCGCAGCCTTTCCTCAGGGCCTGGAAAAGAAATCGGAGGGCGAATCCTCAGCGGCAGCGCTCACGCCGACCGCGGCGCAACGGCGAGCGGGTTCGTTTCTCGTGGCTTCGCTTACGCCAGCTGCGGAACTCGGCGCCTCTTTCGCGCAGCTGAGCGCCAACAATTAAAACGAAAGAATCGAACGCAACGCAGTAAATTGGGGTGAATTTTAAAGGAAATGGAACGCATTCGTGCAGGGATTCTCCGTGCAAGGAGAAAAAAAAAAAAAAAGCAGCAGGCTTTTACATGAGCGCGCAGGCGGCGGCGCGGCCCCGCACCCATCTCGCGCTCGGCCTGCGAGGTCCGAGCTTTTCACGAGGTTTGACCGCGTCAAATCCTGGATTTCACAGCCTCTGCGGCAGGACCGCGTTTACCTCTTCGCTTTCGAACCACTGCAGGGTGAAATCTCCGAGCAGAACGAAGTAACTCTCCTGCCAGCTGTGGGAATCGCCGTCGTACTGGGAGAGCGACCCCTCGTGCAGAGCGGCGTCGGGCGGCCCCCGGAGCTGCGGACACGCGAGAGAAGAACCAGAAAACCTCAGCGACGAGAGAGACCGGGGAGGGAGCCGGCCCCGCCAAGAGCTTTTGCTGCCAGCGTTGTGGGAGTTACAGCGCGAGGCAGCTGGACACGGACATCTAGCGGTGATGAAAAGCAAAGGGAGAGCCTAAAAAACCGCGCCGTCGCTCTCCGTGATACACCGTGGCGATGCCGTAAGGGCTTTGACGGTCTTTGGCGTTGATTTGTGAGCTAGATCCTCGGCTGTCGACCCCACCTTCTCACCTCTCTTAAAATACACTCCTAAATACTTACTTCTAAGCCACAAAAGAGAAAGTTTTCCCTAACAGCCGGTCGCTGTTCTGCGTAACGGTGTTTAATTACGCAAAGCTGGAAAGAGACGGGGAACGGCAGCCGCGTCTCCCCGTTCATCGGAGGACGGACGCCTCCGAGGCGAGACCGACCTCGGCAGGGACGCGTTTCTGGCAGAGGCCGCGCTGGGCTTTTACCTGGCTCGGCAGGAGCTGCAGGGCCGGTTTGCTCTGGGGGTCCAGCTCCCCCGAGACCCGTCTCAGAAGGGCGGTCGCCAGCTGCCTCCGGTAATAGGGCACGAAGTTCTTCACGGCGGCGTCGGCGCGACCTGCGGGCAGAGCCGGACCGGAGCCCGTTTCGGGGGGGGTGCCCTCCTCCCGCAGGAGGCTGCTCGCTGGTTTGAGTTCGCGTTTTTTCTCTCCTCTAAGAACGCCGGCGGAAACCGAGCGCTGAGGCGTGAAGCAACCTCTCCGCGTCTCTCGTCGCCGGACCCCGCTCCCGAACCGCGGGTGCTTTATCACCCCGGGAAGGCCGTCAGCGCAGCGCGGGAGGGCGTCCGGTCAAGAAGGGATCCGAAACGCCAGAGGATCTAACGCTAATCAAAATTACAAAAGACTCTTTATGCGCCGCTGCTTCTCTAAGCGCTTCTTCTGCCAGCTGGAAAGACGGAAAACAAGGGAGCAAATTCATCGATAGCAGAGCTACCGAAACGTCGCGCCCTTGAAAGAATCGGACAACAAAGCCGCGGTCTGAAGCTCCGGAGGTGTCTCGCAGCACCGAGAAGGGCGTTGCTCAAGACGCGGGAGGAGCCGGGGAGGGCAGCGAGCCGACGTCTACGACCGAGGCGTTTCCCAGCCCTCTCTCCGAGAGCCGTCTGAAGAGGAAGGCACCAGAGGAGAGGGCCTGCAGCCTCCTTGCTCTATTTTTTTGTCCAACCGACGCCTTAAAACCAACAGCTAAACTGGATTTCACGTCTCACAAAGCCCAAACGCGAGCTCAGCGAGCGCCGAGCCAACGCTGGCAGCCCTGCGGTGCAGAAGGAGGGCCGATGCCACCGAGGGAGCCTGCCGCAACTCACCGCAAATAGGATTTACGTTCTTTCCGCCCCAAAAAAAAAAAAGCAATAGAGACAGTAAAAGTCGTTTCTCACCTCTCAGGTACCTGCGCTGCCTCCCGTTCAGAGCGCTCGAACACCTTCCTCCCATCTTCAGCCTCAGCGCGCTCACGGCCGGCCGGGCTCCGAGGCCGGGACGTGGCACATGCTCCCTGCCAGCTCCGCCGCCCGGCAGCGCTTTCCTGTCTCGCTCCCCTCCAGATCACCGGCCCGTAAATATTCAAATAAAGTTTCATATCGACCCCCGTGCGCGCACAAAAATAAGCCTTAAAGGGGCGGCGGCGCCTCCGCCGCTCCCCACCCCTTTCTACCAGTTTCACCCCAAGTTCCACGCGCTAAAACAGCACCGGTTTGGTTTCTGATTTAATTTAAATCGTTTAATTTAAAAAAATTTAATTAATTTCTGAAATAACTGCTGGTGCCCGTTAATTAACACAGAACCGTTCAAGGCGAGGCTGCACGCGCTGGAATTTAAATTCAGGACGCTGAAGCGGTTCGGGCTGTAAGTTTACAAGACGCTGCGAAAGGCACGACCGGGGTTATCCGAATTT